TTTTTTTTTTTTTTTTTTTTGCTTTCCCACCCTCTTGAGAAGTAGCCGATATTCCTCAAAAGGATGATCTAGAAGGGAACATTCATGACACAAAAAGAAAAATGGTACGCCGCAGCTGTGTTGAGGCTTTCTTCTAGTAAAGCGAGGACAGACACAGATTTGGGGGAAAACTCCCCACTCTGCCACTTAAAATCCCACAGAGTCCAGAACTCAACTCATGCCTGCTCTTGGTACCAGTAACCCCCTTGGAAACAGGCCCCTGATTCCTTTTCCTCCCTCTCCTTTTAAGGACTTCAGAGAGCGGCCTGAGGCGAGACCTGGCCCTCCGGAGACCTTCCCGGAGCTTCAGAAAGGGCAGCTTGGGGCTAAGGATGAAACCCTATCTGCCTTCTGCCCAGACTACATACATGCATGCACATACTACCTAAAGAAAGCCTTTTCCTGCGCTCTGAGTAAAAGCACTTAGCCCTGGAATATGTCCAAGCACTGGGAAGCCAAAGGAAGATGGAGAAAAAAAACTAAGCACAAGGTAACGTGCTACAGCTCATTCCAATACGTTAATGATTTAAAAAAAAAATTACCACGGTCAAAAAAAAAACCAAAAAAGACAACATCAGGATGACGGGAAAGTCTGCCAGCAGCCTTGCCCTCGTGTGTGCTTCCTAAGAGTCAAAGTCCCCGCTCCTGACTCTAGGCTCGTCTCAAAATGTCAGATCGTCTACAGCCTGCCAGGAAACTGGCCAACTGAGATGATGTTCCAGCACAGGCCTGTAACCCGAACCTGCTGGGGCAGCTACCTACGTTTGCTTGTGCTGGAAGGACCAAAGTTACTAAATAAAGTTAGGAAGGGGGGTGGGGGAGGAAAGGGAAGAGAACAGACGTTGGCCCGGGGGGTCTGGGGTGCAGCCGAGGATCTCCACCCTGGTGCTGGTGGCTCGGGTCAGCGGCAGCACGAGCCACAAGGTGAAGACAACTTGGAGGGGAGCCCGACACCTACGCTTAAACCTGCCCTCCACCCCCAGTAGACTGCCGTGTTTTCTCTTGCCCCCCTTCAACTGTCCTTTAAAAAGACTTTAACATGTAAATGCCATTCAGACAACGGGTTCTTCAAATTCAGAAAACAAGCTTTGTGACTTAAAGGAAGGACGCTAATATTACACAAGCCCAAAGCACCTAGGCAGCCTCTGGGACGGGAAGGGTCTTCACCTCTGGGTAGGACTGAATTTCGTCCAGAGGGGGACTTACCTACATTTTCCTTTCACATCCTCCTCCAAGGAGCAGTCTATAAAGAAGAGGGGCCGAGTGAGCTTTTGGAGAAACACAAAACTAAAACTTCATGCCTCCTAAAAGTAGCCTTCAGCTCCGAACATCACGGGTTCTAAGACCCCATCCATGCATAGCCACTGGGTCGCCGAGGTTGTGCTGTACCTGAAGCTAGTTCCCAAGTAACTGGAGGACAGCTGTGTGCCATAGGAAGTCCTCAGAGGATCATGGAACAGGTAAAGAACTCAGGCCCTCGGGAACCGCCGCCCTGGCTCTTAGGAAGGGCACGAGTGCACCAGCAGAGGCCAAAATGGGATATTCCACACCACGAGTGTCAGACCTGACCCGGAGCGTGAATGCACATCCAGGAGGTTCAGAGCTTCCTGGAAGAAGCAGTCCACAGATCATTGCACAGCAGGCAAACTTCCGACCTGCAGTATTTGACCCTCTCAGGTCGACAGGGGTTTTGTGTGGTCTCTGGGTTCTGTGTCAACAAGCCCTGGGAAAAGCCAAGCGTAGGTCTGGCAAGGTGCTCCTCCCATCTCTTCCTGTGTCCTCAGGGAGCTTGGACAGCAGCTCTCCTACCTGGAAACCATAAGGCTAGAGCTGCAGAGGCATTAGGATCCTGCTGGGGAGGCACCAGGAAGCCCCCAACATCTCCGTAAGGCATCAGAAATGTCATCACAGTTGAGGTTTTTACCTGCCAGAAGTGTACACTTTCTCCCCTTCACCTGGAAGAAGACAGGACTTCCATAGGAAATCCCTTCACTTTTCCTGGTAGAAATCCATGCAAAAATACGGGATAAGTCATTTCATTACAAAAACAGCAACAAGGAATAAAGTACCAATTGCAAGTGGCAATTCTGTCTGCTGGATTCTGCAAAAGGCCAGTAAAAAGGAGAGCTTTTTTTTTTTTTTTCCAGTTGCAATAATTTATAACCATTTTCTCACTAATTGCCACTGGGAACAGTACTTATTATACAATATAGCTGCTATAGTCGTCACTGATGATCCTCTACTGTGAGCTAGATAATCTTACATCCCAGGGGGAGGATGGCAGACCTCTGTGCACCAAGCCTGCAGTTTTCAAAGGTGTAAAAAAAAAAAAAAAAATTTTTAATAGCCCTTTTCATTTGCCTGTGTTGGCCTGAGATTTTTCACTTCTGGTGAATTTGCTTCTGTTAATTTCAGTTTCCAAAAGTGCTGCTGGCAGGTGTCTTCTCAACAGAACCTGGAACAGCTTCACCTTGAGAGAGAGGTTGCTGGGCCCCACGCTGGTTTCCCAGTGTGCCAACCAGGATTTTTTTTTTTTTAATATAAAATAAACATTTAAACGAGCATACGATAAAGCTCATTTAATTAGCGCAACTGACCACGTAAACCGAGATAGCCGGATGCAGAAGGATAGCAAGCGAGCTCTTACAGATGACTGGAGACCCATGCTCAAAACACTGCGATGGGACGGCTGCCTCCTGCTTTGTGTGAGCACTTTGTGTAATTCACATCTCTGAGATCAACGCGAGAAGATGTTCTATACATTGCAGAAGCCCCGGCAGATCTCCCACCCGTTCAAAATGAGAAAGGACAAACTTGAGAGAGGAGGTGTCTCACCACCTTTCCCCACTGTGCCTGTGTGCATGCTCTGAACACACCGGCTCACACGTATCCGTCCGCTCGGAGAGGGGAGGAGACATACGAGCCCCCTCCGCGCCACAAGTCAGTCCAGCTCCCGGGGTGCGGGGTCTGCCGGAGTGCTAGAGCTCAGGAAGGCTCAGTTGAAGCCTTTGTTAAAAGTGCCAGAGGGCCAGGCATGAGGTTTGCTCATGGCCCTGCAGGCTCTACTCTACCTAGAACACCCAAGGTGAGTTTCACACTCCAGTCCGGAAACGAGGGCCATTTCCCGTTGGACAGTGACATCCTAGATTGCGGTCATTGAAACAGAAGGAGGCTGGGAGGAGGGGGCAGGTGGTGAAATACTACCTGTTTGCTCAAGCCACCAGAGCAGAAGCCATTTCTTGCCCTCCAAACTGGGGCCAAAGGGCAAATGTGTTCAGCAGACACGGCTGTGCTAAGATCCATCTCTGGGTCTGCTTTTGTGTTTTGGAAAACAGGCTGGTGCCGCCTTGATCGAGGGAGAAAAACTTCTTCATTGACAATAGTGAGTTGAGTTCCAATTTTCTCCACGGCCTTCTTCCCCCAAGCCCGTCCCTTCCCACCCTCCCCCTTCACACCCAATGTCTCTAAGACACACTGGAACAGCGGATGCTTGGGGAGCCCATCTGGGTGAGGACCTTGTCAAGCCACTGCAACGGCCCATTGAGGTGCAGCTCAATCCAGCAGGGGGTGCTGGTCACTGTCTGTCTCCTGCAAGACACAGAGAAAGGGGTGGGGTGGGAGATGTCAAAATTGTCCGGAAAGACACACATACAAATCAAAACACCTCTGCCTGCTTTCATGAGAGTCTTCCTCCCAAAGCCAGAGACATATCCAAGGCACCTTGCTAGACCCTGCCCTAGAGGAGATCCCACTCACTGTTATTGGAAACGGCCAAGCCATACTCCTCCAGCCAGGAAGAGCCTTGAGTAAATCAGGTTCTCTTGCTGGGAAAGGAGGTAGCCCTTCAAGGGTTAAACGTGTAAGGCAAATTTTAGGGTATCGCACTTGCCCACCTCTGCCTGTGTCAGCCCCCCGGCCGCCCGGTGAAGAACTTCCAGCCTGAGCAAAGGTCTCCCTCGGTCCCATCTGTCCTGAACGGGCACCCCGGGCCCCAGCAGGCCATGATGACGCGTGTCTGTCTGATCGAGGGGTGTTTTTCGCAAGGCGCCGACAGAGTCCACAGGCCATCAGTTCCCAATGTGCTGATATAATTCCCATCTATGGACTTATTTTGGAAAATCTTACGAGCAGAGCGAGCCATGGAACAATTACTGGAAAAAACCAAGGCACACCACACGTTTCGTTTCCCCAAAGCACTTTGTCTAAATTCAGGCTGGTTGATGACGCAGCCCTCAGGCGAGCTCCCAACGGCCTCCAGTGAGCAAAGGCTATCTTGCTGAGGCCGGAGGTGCGGGTGCCAGCTGGAGGTGAGAGGCCTGGGCCCTGGGCCCTCCCTGCTTTTGGTCATCTTACAGGATGGATGAAACCTTAGTCTTTGGCCCGAGAGGCAGGAGGAGGGCAAGACCGTTCTGGGAAGGGGCCGCACCCGCCTGTTAGGCTGCTCCTCAGGGCTGCCAGGTGGCAGTGACTCGGAGCGCCGTACAGGACCGGGTGTGCTGGCAGTACGTCTCGCCTGGTGACACAGTGTCCCCCGGGAATGACTTCCTCCGCCACCAAGGGGCCTCTTCCCCGCACCGGGGGCGGGGGAGCCATAGTGCCGCGCTAGGCAGACGGCTGCTAGCCTAAGGCCAACACCCTCCTTGCCTGGCCGACGCTTCACCCGTGTAGAGGTGGAGAGATGGGCCTGTGGATGCTGAGGTGCCTCTCTGACCTACGGTCCCTGAGCGTGGTCCTCTGGACCCACGTGTGGGTGTAGGAGGGAGTGAAAGCACCTCCCGTGGGCTCTCTCCCACTGGCAGCCATCTAAGTATCTCCCTCCCCCACTAAAAAAATACTCCTTTTATAACCCTTCATCCTTGTTCCGTAAATGGTTTCAGCCAGGGCTAAAAGGTGGGCTAAATCTCTCTTCGGGCTGGGTCTTCGGGCCTTGGCTAGTTCCCTTAGGCTGTCATAACTGGGCCATAAGTTCTGCTGAGAGGCCCGACCACTTGGGTTGCTCAATTGGTCACTCATCCTGGGTTTCACAGAGACCCCACGGGCCAAGGTGCTGTGCTCCCTGGCACTATGGGGCAGACACAGGCAACGGCAGCTAAAATACGGTAAATGGGGGGGCGCCTGGGTGGCTCAGTTGGTTAAGCGGCCGACTTCGGCTCAGGTCATGATCTCGCGGTCTGTGAGATTCTGTGTCTCCCTCTCTCTGACCCTCCCCCATTCATGCTCTGTCTCTCTCTGTCTCAAAAATAAACGTTAAAAAAAAAGTTAAAAAAAATAAATAAAATACGGTAAATGGAAGAAGATTTTACGGACCGCCATCCTCTAACGAGGATCTGACTTTCCATAAGTCATGCTCATCTGGATTTCATTATAAACAGTGGCACAGAGCCAATATTGAAATGGGTTTGGCGGGGGTGCACAATGACTACAAAACAAAATGGATTCCAAACATCTGGAAAAATGAAGAGAAGGGGGGAGTCACTTGCAAGGCACTGGCCCCAGCTGACGTGTGGGCACCTCTGCGTCTGCCGGGGAAGCCGGGGGCTGGGCAGGGGCGGCGCAGGGCAGGAGGGGCACACAGCCCTGACACACACCTCCCGTCTAGGTGGAGCAAGAAAAGGGACAGGATTCTCTAAACCCAAGCCAGGATGGTGTGACAGAGTCAATAAGAGCAGATCAGGTAGAACTGACCGATGCCATGTTTAAAGCAATATCTGAAATTCTGAAAGAAAAAAAAAATCAGTTCTTTTCTGAACAAGTAAACTATGTTCCTTTCTGACTTCCCACATCTCTTCTAGATGCTTCTCAAATTTCAATACCCTAGATCCTCAGGGTCCCTCGAGTCAAAGACAGAGCCCCAGAGGAGGGAAGGAGGGGAGGACAACTTAACTCCCTGGAAAGGGTGGTCCTAAAACCGTCTGCCCCTAACACACAATGAGGAAGAAGCCACGAGGCCCTGCTCTGGGCTCCGCCTTTCCACTAACAACGTGACCTCAGGCAAGTCACTTTCCCTGCCTAGGCCTTCGTTCCCTCATCCGTGCGCCGGGGGTGATGCCAGCGTCCCTGCCCAGGGTTGTGGTGAGGAGAAAATGGAATGTGTGGTCGCAGCACCGGGCGAACAGTGCCTAGCTCCTCCTCATTCTTGGTCTCTGGGGCGAGGGCTGGCCTAGCTCTGCCGTCTGAGTCTCCCGCAGTCAGGCTCCCGTGACGCGTGCCCCCGACCTGACCTGTACTCTGCTCCCCAGCCTTTGACGAAGCTCATGCGGATGGTGCACATCCGGGTCAGCTGGTAGACCGCCTCGAAGCCCTGGTTGACAGACTGAGCCAGGAGGGCGGCAAACTCCTGGTTGTTGAAGATCTTCAGGTTGCATCCTGCCAAGAGAGGAAAAACAGTGCTCGTGGGGACGGAGCACATCCGTGTCCCGTGCCCCCACGCCTGGCTAAAGCCACCCCCCGGGTCATCCAGACAGTGGAACTCACACGGCCGAAGTGTGACAGGGCGACCATTCCATGTGCCAGCCACACACTACACACCGTGCTAGGGATAGGCCGACTTGGTCCTTGGCCTTGAAGCCATCCCCACCTCAGTGGGGAGGTGCAGCTGAGCCGTGGAGGTGGGTGAAACCCTGGCCTGTAGGCTCCAGCTCCGAGAGCCACGGAACAATGAGGAAGACCGTAAAGCGGGCCACCAAGAACAAGAGAGATGGCCTAGAGAGGTGGGCCTTGCCCTGGGCAAAAGGGCCAAGGCAGGAAGCCAGGGACGAGAGACACAAGGGACCCAAGCCAGAATATCCATGGCTGCATGGGGCACGGCTGAGCACCCGGGGAAGGGGAGGCCGTGACAGGAGTGTAGGCCAGATGAAAGGCTGCCAACAGAGGGGCCCAGGTTCCACCCAGGCTGCCCTAGTGAGTCCACCTGGGGCCAGGAAGGAACAAGAGATCTGGGCCACATTTTGGCCTTTAGGCACATGGCTGGGTCAGAGTGACATCTGCAGCAAAGTGAGGATGTGTGTCTAACCCTCCAGGCAGTAAAACCAGAGACTGGCACAAATGAAGTTTATAATAAATCTCCGGAGGTCCTACCACCTGAGTGCCTGGAATGTGTCAGAAAAATAAAGACAACAGCAACATGCTAGAAAAGCCCAAAAGGTGAGCTAAGGTGACATTTGTTAGCAGGGCAACACTGGGCACCTAATTTTGCTGTATGACTCTGGGCTGGTCACTTTCTTGTCGTAAGCCCGTGTCTCTGAGAGGCTGGCCACGGAGGTCCTCCAGGCTCTGATCTTCCATGAGCCAACAAACCCCACCACAGCCAACTCAGCCCTCACCAAAAAGATGGGAGGAGGGTTGGGGAAAGGAATGACCACAATGCCAAGAACATGACGGACCTTTCTGTTCTCGTTTTTTCTCCAAGGAGATGTGTGGGGACACAGGGCAGAAAGTGGGTTTTGGCTCCCAGCTGAGCCAAGAAGCAGAGGAGCACGAGGCTCGGGAGTCACACAGTTTCTAGCCTCATCCTGGCTCAGCCACTTACTAGCTGTGCCTTTGGTCAGGTGGCTTGACCTCTCTGAACTTGTCTCCTAAGGAGCCAGAATGATTGGAAAGGACTAAGAGCAAAGATATAAATGTATTCTGGGAACACAACCACACAATGCCCTGGAAATGTAGAGTACTGTTATTTCAGACCTTCTGCGTTCTTTTTTTTTTTTTTTTTT